TCGAGGGGGGCGGCAAAAAATCCTAGAGCTGGCTCTGTTCCTACCGTTCACAGCAAGCTGCAGATTTCAGTTCCATACTCCTTTCCCACACGCCTTCCTCTTGCTAGTGGCCAAGGGAATGCTGGGAAATGTAGTTCTTTCCCTGCTCCAGGGCTGGCTCTATAGGCAGGGAGCTAACCAAGGAACTACAACTCCCAGGGGCCCCGTTGGTTCTTAGCTCCCATGCTGGATTCTTGCGCCCCTTGCAAATCTGCCGCCCCAAGCAACTGCTTGCTTTGCTCCTGCCTAGAGCCGGCCCTGACCACTTGTACTCTTTGAAAAATGTGTTTTCAATTCCCACGCTTCATCTCTTCCATTCATTATTAGCTACAGAGTTTGCCAGCAGCAACACTGGAAACTAATTTAAAATTAAAAATTAATATTACAGCCATCCCTAAGATGCTTTTGATAGTGAAGAGTGTTTTTTCTATTTAAAAGTATTTTCTACTCTGAGACTTCACGTAAGCAGTAGTAAACAATATAACTAAGACTGAAATGTAGCTTCTAACCCTTGCTAACTCTGAGACACATTTGTTTTGTGCTAGAATTTGTTTTAGAATTCAGAAACACCATTTTTAGTTCTCTATGCATGTACATGGCAATAGGAGGAGAGAAATGCTCTCAGACTCCTATGCATGCACAAATGTGCTGATTGCTTTAAAAGGTGGACATAGTTTTGTTCAAATTTAGCAGGTCTCTTGGGTTTTAATAAACATGATTTAAGCCACTTATCTCTTTAAAACTACTGAAGAAGTTTTTGACTAATGAGAACCAGGATGCAGAGTCTCAAGAAGTTCACAGTTTAAACAATAATGAGCAGGATTCTCCTTTTGATTCTGCAGTCTGTTTGGGGTGTTGTGATAGAGTAAAAGAAACTTATGTCTTTGAATTAAGTTTTTGGCAAAAAAATAATATTGATTCAATGTTAATATCGGCTACATGTTAATAGTGTGTCTTTTCTCATTGAATTGAGCATTAGATATTAGAATCTTGTAACCGTCGCATTAGCTTGCTATTTATCATTCAAGATTGTTCTATCAGATTCTTCCTTTCTGCTCCTCTAATTATGAAACAAAAGAATACACTTCAGAATCAGAACATTTAAAGAACTTTACTTTTATTGAATTCAAAAGTTATGTAAATAGAGATAGAATACAATTATAGAGATTTATTTTTAGTTAATGGCATACATCCGCTCATACCAGGGCCAGCTCTAGGCACCAGCATTCCAAGCATGTGCTTAGAGTGGAACTTCTCAAGGGGCGACATTCCGGCCCTTTGGGGGTGGCTCTTTTCAAGGGGTGGCACTCTTTTTTTTTTTTGCTTGGGGGGGCAAAAAAAACTGGAGCCGGCCCTGGCTCATACATATATAGAACAATCTCCTTATAATAGTCTTTTTCCACTACCTTCTTCTTCAAGGGGACAATAAAAAGACATGCCTATTGGATCTCTTCATGGTCTGTATTGATAATCACTGGGATTAGTGCAGAATGACTTTTGGTGATGTGACAGGAGTACTGATCCTGACCCTAGGTGGGTGACTGGGACCATAAAATAAAGTCTGGGCCAGATCCTCAACTGCATTAAAATCAGTGTAGTTCCAGTGACATCAAAGGAATTACATATTTAAAAGTAAGAAACAGCTTGGGTGCTTTTCTGAATTTGGGCATTGTGATTGCGTGTCTAGTCTAGCCACATGTATCAGTTGTGCCCTATGCATTCAATTCACCTTATAGAAAAGGTCATCCAGACATGAGCTAAGAAAAATCATCTTGGAAGCAGCTCTATCCTCCTATCCATGATGTATTTAATTTATGACACATACTTTAGAAAGCAGAAGACTTGTGTGTGGTGCTTTAAAAATGTACTTTGCTAGTTTAATTACTTTTTTGGATACATATGTGCTGCTGACCTAATATCATTAAAGAAAATCTTATTAAAGTAAATATAGTGAATATAGACCATTATGTGCAAATAGTTTTGTAGTTCACTAAAAATCAAGAAAAACAGATATAAACAGAAATTAATCAAATCCTTGATCCTACAGCCACATTATTTTTATGGATCATTATTTTCATGGGTTTTTCCTCATCAAGTCGAGGAGTTCATTATACATGCGCTTAGGTGCATCGAGGCCCCAGATGAAATCCAGATGGTTCCAATCAGGAATCGCCTTGTGGTAAACCAAATTAGTGACTTGTTGGCGCAAAAGGGCAACATCCCTAGGGTCAGCGAGCAAGTCATTTCCAGCACTCCACATTGCAGTTGGAACTTGCATGTTCTTCACATTGTATAAGGGAGGAGTATCCTTTAAAAAGGGGGTTTTATAAAAGAAAAAAAAGAGTTTCATGTCACTAGAGGATTATTTAAAACAAAGAACAACTTCATAATGATTTATTGTAGTTCTGGAAAGGATAGCAATGAGGACAAGGGAGTTGTGAATCAGAAGTTTTGGATTTCCTGACAGTTCGTATTTGAATTTTCAACCGGGAAATTCATTGCATCATTTTTGGAACTAAATTTTCCTAATTTCTTTAAAGAAACAGTAACAGATGATCCCTCACTCTCACAGATCTTGGGAGACAGACCTATCCTCGCTTACAGACAACCCCCCAACCTGAAGCAAATACTCACCAGCAACCACACATCACTGAACAAAAACACTGACCCAGGAACCTATCCTTGCAACAAAGCCCGATGCCAACTCTGCCCACATATCTATTCAAGTGATATCATCATAGGACCTAATCACATCAGCCATGCCATCAGGGGGTT